AGTGTTATGATTGATATACACTTGGTGCATGTTTGGCAAAGCTTAATTTTTTTAAGCTGGTCAAACATACTTTTTATTCAAACATTTTCGTGAGAGCCACACCTTATTATCCACTTATTATTCATATCTTCCGTAGGACTCATAATTTATAAAGCACTTAATAAAAAAAAAAAAAGAAGCTTTAGCAATTATGCATAACTGACTCGCTTGACTCACCAAAATATGCTAAAATGATACATGAACTACAGAGTTATATTTTCTCGGTAGTGTTAAATATTATGTTTGGAATGTGATTAGAGAAGTGTGTGCAAGATATAGTTTTACGAAAAGTCTTTTCATTTCTGCATTGATAAAACTGTGAACTTTCAGACTACGCCGTTAATTTTTTGGTTATTTTTGTGTTGCTTTTCATCCAGTGTTGCTAATACTCAACTTTATTCTTCCAGCTCACAGGAGACTTTAATAAGATGCTTGCACTCCAGAAATTATTAGAGACTTATGGAATTTGTGAGGTTTGTGCCCAAATCGCCTCGTTTCCTACATTCAATGTGTCTAATAGTACCTTGCCATGGCGATACACACACTGATCTTCCATGTATAGATTGTATTTAACCTCAAGGAATAACTGTACTTTAAGCACAGAAAGAAATCAGTGAAAATGCCTTCTTTTAGCAAGTCTCCCCAAGAACAATTTATTCGTGATTACTTCTAACACTTGACCATTTTATTTTTTATCAAGGTGGCAAGGACAGGGAGAGTGGCACTGGTTCGGGAGTCAGGTGTAAATTCCAGAGTTCTCCGGGGATATTCTCTTCCTACATAGACTTGCCGTAGATTTCTGTTGTTGTGTATCGTCTCCTCTTCTTCCTTCCTTGAGTGTTGTAGTATTGCTTTTAGTTTAGGCTGCTAGAAGTGGTTTGTGTTGTACGTTTCTGCCTGATCAAAACAGAACTATTGCATGATGTATTGTAATTTAGTGATTTAAACTTTTCCACTAAGAAAGTAATACTTCAGTTATGCATAATTATCCTTCCAAGATTTCATGTGTAGTTATTAAGCCACTAATGCTATTTTTGCATTCGGAAGAGTATACTTTGACTTGGATAACTAGAGACGCAAGTACACATGACTGGGCATTAAACATATTTTTCTTTCTTCAGTTATTATATTTTTCAAATGTATATCTCAAATTCTGTATCCTACTCATCATATCCAATGTACCAGTGGCAAGCCACCACCGACCAGCAACTACCTCCAATATGGCCCACTAGCCGAAAACTATTGTACTATATATTGGGAAATTATAATAATTCAGGTGTTTAAAGATTGAAATTCAAAATTTAGGGATCGAGTTTTATTATTCAAAAATCAGGTAATATAAAAACTCTAACCCTAATTTATCATTCTCACCCTCACATTTCTCTCTCTCTCTCCCCTCCCCTCCCCTTCCCTTCCCTTCCCTTCCCCTTTCCTCCACCCCCCTTCTCTATCCTTTCCCCACCATATCTGCCTCTCCCCTCTCCGACGGACAGCAGCGTCGTCGCAACGCTGCTAGCGACGTTGCCATTCGTGTAGCAGCGCGCGACGCTGCCACGAATTGAGCAGCATCGCGACGCAGTCGTTCGCGCAGCAACAGTCGTGACGCTGCTGCGATTCGAGAGTTCTGGTTGACGCTGCTGTGGTTTAAGGGTTCGGGTATGGAGTGATGTTGGTGGGTATGGATGCGGTGGTGGGTTTGGTTGGCGTGATGTTGGTAGCGGGTTTGGTTGGTCGTGATGTTGGTCCAACTGCACTTAATTTGTCCAAGAATCAACTGAAGGAGATGCCACAGATGTAAGGAATAGGCTCAATGT